GACCTCCAGTACTAGGCCCCCTGTGACTGCCTTTCGCTGACGGACCCCGCCCGTAATGCCAAGCTCTGCCAGCTTAATACGGGCTTTTGCGGCCTGCATTACTTCCGCCAGTGAGGTACTGGATCCCGGAGGCACTGCGACCACGACGGCAGCATTGGTGGGGGGTCGCGGTAATTGCGGCTTCTTCGGCTCCGAGACAGGAGGAACAACCGCACCCTGTCTCGCAGCGGTAGCCCGGGCTTTTCTCCCAACAACTTGGGCCCAGGTGCCCCCTTCCTGCCTTACCGCTGGTTCCGGCAGGGTAGACCTTCTCAGGCTGATGGAAGCCTGCCTCGTTACGGGAGTCAGTAGCTGCCCCGCCAGCCCTTTCACTTTCTTTTTCTTCTTTTTTCTCTTCTTCTTCTCCTCGGAAGAAGAAGAGAGCGCAGTGGCTGCTACAGCCGCCTGCCGCGCCATTGGAGTCAGTCCTTGGCCTAGAGGGGGTCTGGCACCTCTCTCTGGGAAGAACCTAGCTAAAAGCCTGGACTGGAATCGGGCAAACTCACGGTTCATGATTGCCGCAATTTCTTCCCAGTCCGGGTGGTCCTCCCTTGCCGGGCGGGCCAGTGGCACCGGCAAGCCCATTTTCGGCCCCAGTTCCGCCATCGTAGAAGGCAGCGGGATCGTTTCCGTCACCTCTGCTGAGCTCGGCTGGTATGCGTAACTGACACTGTGTGCCCGCTTCGCCAAACCAGTTCCGTCCTCATCATCGTGTCGACTATTCCCACGCTTCCGCGACTGCCTGCGTGTCTCCCTCTCCGACCCTATCGAGGCTGAGCTATCGCTCTCTCCACCTCGATCACCTCCATCAAGCGGCAGCGGAGTGGAGGGTCTGAAGAAAGGTGTTTTTAACAAATGCGACCGCAACCGCCGTTCGTCACTCTCGGTCGCCTTAGTTGAGCGCTTTGTTTTATTGTGTTAATATCCATATTTAATCCCACGAGTATGGGGGAAATGAAGTCCATCCGGGCGGTGCCCCCTGCACCCGGATAAGCCTATATACTGTAGAGGTCGGCCGGTATCCACAGGTTTTAACGACTTTGCTGTCGGGTGTTATAGACTGTCCTTGTCATGGGTCGGCCAATTAAGGCAAGCCCTCCGGCCAACAGGTTCTCAGCGTACCCTCCTGGAGCCACCAATTGGGTCGTTGCTGAACCCCTGTTGGTTACGAAATGCGAGAGGGTGGCTAACCCTCCCGGCGGCAGCACTGGTGCTTGTCAGCCCCTGCGTAAGCAGTGGGTCGACCCGCCCTTGGATTCCATACGGATCCCACCTCGGCCTCTGCCTACAACCCCTTCGCTCGTCCAGTCTCCTCTGGTGAACAGAGAAGTACGGAGAGCGATTTACCCCCCCCCCCCTGCCGAGTTATTTGCCGGCGGCCAATACCCACCCCTGAAAGGGAAGTTATTGACCGTCGCCCAGGATGCACCGGCCCCCTGCTTCCGTTCCCCCCGAACACAGTGGTCATGAGGGACAAGAAACACGGCGACGCACGTGGAGGTTACCCGACCCGCACCCCTTATTTTGGGACCTATGGAGTTGTGATCAGCGTTCATTAGGGCCAAATATGCCCAAATTACAATATTCTAAATTAGGATGGCTGATTGCCGGTTCTATACCTACTAATTTTATAGCACCACAAATAAAAACATTTAAATGTAATACTTCGACTATTAGTCGCGATAGTGATACTATACAGGATTTTCAAAGACAACTAAAAATCTTTTGGGATCTAGAGCAAGTCCCCGATAGACCACTACATACTGAAGTAGAAAGGGCCTGTGAAAGAGAATATCTAGCTAATACTTATCGTTTACAATCCGGTAAATTTTGTGCATGGCGCTATGTTCCAAATGATCAAATCCAGCAGATTTGATATCAAGAGGAGTTAACCCTGACCAGCTCGGCGCAATGGATATCTGGTGGTCTGGTCCACATTTTCTTAAGTGTCAAGAATCATTGTGGCCAAGTTTACATGGATCATTGGATGATTCAGAGATTCCAGAACTAAAATCCAATTCTATTTTATTAAATGATAATTGCAAGGAGAAATCATTAGAACAGGTTATAAACAAGTACTCTAGTTTTATTAAATTGAGACGTATATTTGCCTATATTAAACGTTTCATTTATAATGCACTTTCTCCCAAACACAAGCTTACCGGCATACTAACCGTGAATGAATTAGAGTCATCATTTGCAACGTTATGTAAAATATCTCAGCAAGAGTCATTCGCTAATGAGTATAATTTAATGTCAAGGAATAAGTCCCTTAGCCCTAAATGCAATATTTTATCTCTAACGCCTTTTTTAGATGACAATAAAGTTATCAGAGTTGGTGGTAGAATAGATGCTTCCAACTACGATTACAATAAAAAACATCCTATTCTCTTGCATTCCTCTCATCACTTAACCAAGATTTATTTTAAATACCAGCATCTAAATAACATGCACGCTGGACCCCAACTATTGCTGGCTTGTGTCAGAGATGTTGTATGGCCGATCAATGGTCGACATCTGGCCCGTCGCACGGTTCATAGTTGTGTCACATGTAGGCGCATGCAGGGCAACACAATGACTCCCATGATGGGAAACTTACCTGCACAATGTTTACAGCTGACTTTCCCTTTCGCACCGTTGGTGTAGACTTCGCTGGACCATTTTATACCATTAATAAGAGAGGTCGAGGTGCTCGGGTAACCAAAACTTACTTGTGTGTATTCGTTTGCTTTTGGGTACAAGTGCGTGCACCTTGAGGCAGTAAGCGATTTGTCTAAAGAGTCATATATACTTACGGCCAATGAATCTTCTCTCACAGAATTTGCTCATAATGAGGGTATAAAATTCATTTTTTCACCTTGTTGTGCTCCTCACTTTGGGGGTATCTGGGAGGCCGGCGTAAAATCCGCTAAATACCATATAAAACGTGTAATGGGTAACACTCATCTAACATTTGAATTAATATCTACTCTTTTCGCGCAGGTAGAAGCTATTCTGAACAGTCGGCCTTTATGTCCTCTTTCCTCATCTCCTAACGACTATCTTTTCTTAAAGCCCGGGCATTTTCTGATAGGACGCCCTCTAAATTCATTACCTACGCCTTCAATTGGAAATCAGAATGCAACAAGTCTTGATCGCTATAAGAGATTGGAGCAAATCCGCCAACACTTTTGGCAACGTTGGCAAAAGGAATATATTGGAGAGTTGCAGCAGCGTTCCAAATGGCGCTCTAATTCCACGAAATTATGCGTTGGAGATTTGGTACTCTTACAGGAACACAATGTTCCACCACTATGTTGGCGTATGGGACGAGTTAGCCGTTTACTTCCTGGAGCTGATGACATCTCGCGAGTCGCGGACATCGAGACGACCCGAGGCTGTTTTAGAAGACCACTAACCCGCATCTGCCCCTTGCCAACAGTCGACGAAGATTGCTAAGTTGAAAATGGATTCTCAACGAGGGGGAGGATGTCTCAGCGCATAGACTTTGTCTATAACGGAACGCATCATAGTCGTATTACTCACTACCCACTATTTTCTACTTTTAATATATTGTTAAGAATGTCAAGGCAATCCAACACAGACCTTTTTGTACTGTACATTAGCACAAGAAATAAAAAGTTTTTTTACATCAAAAACCGAAGTTTACAATTTCAAACTTCCAAATGTCCCCTACGAGACAAAGGGTTTTCCAATAAGAGGTGTTATTTAGTATTCAAAGAAAAATGCAATTCTTTAAGATAAATAATCGGCTGTTTATTTTATAATAAAGAGGAAGGTATGCCGTTAATAATGGAAGATAACATCAGCCAAATGGCTACCACGACCACGCTTACAGGACCATATCCTTTTAATGAAATTTTGCATAACCAAATCGCAAAGTGGCTGCCCTATGTCCTCGATAGCCTCACGAATGCCATCTTTGAGGTCTTGAATCGACGCTGGTCTGTTGGCGTAGACCTTATCTTTCACGTGGCCCCAAAGAAGAAGAAGAAAGAAGAAGTCGCAAGGTGTTAAATCACAAGATCTCGGTGGCCAATTGTGATCACCTCTTCGAGAGATAACACGGTCAGGAAACTTTTCCCGTAAAAGAGCAATGGTTTCGTTGCTTGTGTGGCACGGAGCGCCGTCTTGTTGAAAGTAAACGTTGTCCAGATCAATACCATCCAACTCCGGCCATAAAAAATCATTGATCATATCTCGATAGCGCAATCCATTCACCGTAAGTGTTGATCCAACCTCATTTTCGAAAAAGTAAAGTCCAATGACCCCGCCGGACCATAAACCGCACCAAACAGTCACACGTTGAGGATGGAGAGGCTTCTCAACAATAACTCTTGGGTTTTCCGAGCCCCAGATGCGACAATTTTGCTTGTTGACGTAGCCTCCTAGGTGGAAATGGGCCTCATCAGTCAAGATGATTTTTCGATGAAATTCCGGATCATTTTCATGCATTTCAAGTACCCAATGAGCAAAGACACGACGTTGTTGATGATCGGCCGGCTTGAGTTCTTGTGTTAACTGAACTTTATAAGCCTTAAGACCCAAGTCTTTATGAAAAATACGGTGTAATGACGTTTGTGGAATGCCCAATTCCAAAGAACGACGAGGAATGGACAAACCTGCGTTTTCTTCAACACTTTGGGCTACAGCAGCAATATTCTCAATTGTTCTTGAGCGACGTGCATGGGCTTTTCATTGTACCTCTAATTAAGGAAGGCACTGACTCCTAAGATACAGGTTAATCAACCTAGTTTAGGAGACAGAGCACCTATCAAAATGTAACTTTGATGGTTCAATAAACTTGTTTGTTTGTTTGTTTTGTTTGGTTTTATTCTTCACATCACTAACTTGTCCCAACAGCTCGAATTTTTTTATTTCAAAAAATTAAAGCTTCAAAAGTGACAGCTACCGAAATACCGGGTGATTCAAAATAACACCTCTTGAAACCCTTTTCTATCTTAATCCGTAACTATTAAATAACAATAATTCTTACTTACATAATCCGCTATCGACATCATTATATAATCTGCAACGACACCTTCCATATGAGTTTCTGCCAAGCTGTGTAGGGTAATCCCAGTGTCCTTGTCATTCACAAGATGAGACAGGAGATTTGAGGTGTAGTACGTGTATATGGTGTAAGCGAAGAAGAAGAACGTGAGGTAGGCAATCCTACGTGAGATCAGCTTGGCTTCTATTGGAGGAACTGGGAAAATAAGATTTGCCGTTATTATTTATTGATTGAAATTCATTTTTTAAATTTTTGAGATGTGGTTGTATCGAGGTATTCACGGGATAAGAAGCAGAAGATTGATTCAAATTCGACATTGTTTTTGTTTTGTTTGTTGTTAAATCTATCATCAAATGTAAAGGAGTCCTCCGTGTATTTGTAAAAACTCGAGATCATCTGATGGTTTTGGATATGATGGTTATGGATGGTTTTGCACACAAACACGTACTTTTGAACCACTATGGATTATTATATATGTACTAGAATGCATAAAACTGTAGAGTCGTCTTTATATGTAGAGTCGTTTTTATATAATATTAAACTTGGTAGCTCATACAATTGAAGGCCAATTCTCGTAATAAAAGTTCGATCTCAATTTGGTTCCGATTAACTTTTGGATCTCACAATTTTACGGTATTTTCATGGTAAAAAAGTAGAGTATTAATAAGACCAGCAGATTACCGATTCAATTTTCGGTTATATTACGATATAATCGTATTACAGTCAATGTTGAATGTTTAATACTTTACTACGAAAATACCTTTTATGACAGTTGTGAGATCGAAAGCTGATCGGAACAGTATACGCCTCTGTGTTCGTGTGTACGTGTCTGCGTGATGCTTGTATGTTTGTGTTTTCTATCTTTGTGCTCAGCCATTGATAATGCTCAATAATAACTGTCACAATCTTTTTATTTATTAAACATGTTATATGGAATTTTCTAGTGTTAGTTGTAGAATAGCAACCATTCTTAGAGCATCTTTCTTGGACCAATGACTCGTTACCGAGAGTAACCAAAACTTTCATAACCATGACAGGTTCATGGTTATGAAAGTTTTGGTTACTCTCTATTTACACGAAAAAAAAGGACATACATTGACTTGTGACTGTTTGTGTGTCTTTCACATTGACCCAGGGTGAATATAGTAATCTGTGCCTTATAAATATACCAGCTTTTGCCCGCAGTTCCGCCCGCGTGTATGTCCGTTATCGCGGTGAAAAGTAGCCTATATTACTCGCTGAAAAGGGGGGGGGGAGTAGGAGGGTGAAACATACTTTACGTACAAAAAATAATTGAAATCATTCGATCCGTTTCGGAGGAGTGGGACAACAAACACTGTGACTCGAGATATATATATATGTATGTATGATTATATATATATGTATATATGTATGATTATACTCACTATGCTGACAATATCCTCCAACAACCATAAGAAGTTCATAAGGGTAGCTGCATTCAAATCCTCCAATCATTCTAAACTCACATTTCTTCAGAAAGTAAAAGATTATACTGAGTAGAATTGCCATGCTGCAGAGAGAAGTCCATAAAGGCTTAGTAAAAGGGTTGCGATAGAAATCTCGATAGTAACTTTCGTTTTCATATTGTAAAATGAACCCTAACCTGAAAGAAATAAAAATCTAGTTATAACTTCATGATCGTCATCATTCATCATAACTATGGAAAAATATATAGTGTGGTAATAATAATAGTGTATTTTTTTAAGTGTAATGTTATATGTTTACATATCCGGGTTTAAAATAAATAATAATAATAAGAGTTTAACAATGATAACTTGGTACACCGATCATCTGATTCCAAACTAGGCTGACCCTGTATTATAGAAACCAGACTACAGAAAACCAAGATCATATATTTCTGAATACTTACACATTAGTGCTAATTCTGTTGTTCGAAAACTCTCTAAACTAAACTAAAAATCACAATAAAATTGTTTAGTCTTGTCAACCTGTCAATAACGTTTCGTATTCTGAAAACGTAGTTCTTGACATGACTAAACAATTTCTTTGTGATTTTTAGTTTAGTTTATGAATTTCGAACAACAGAATTAGATCCAATATAAGGTAGCTATTGCCCACGGCTTCGCATGATTATTACTTATTTCGTGTTTCAAATTTTCTACAATGACTAACTTCGATATCTTATTTTATAACCGTATAACCGTTTTATAACCGTTCATATCTTATTTTACCACATTAGGGGTAAGTATTTTTTAAAATTCCTTATTAATACTCATTATGCTTATGCTTTTTACGTTGTAAACACCTTCCTTCTCTTTGTAGTGCTGTTGTCCTGCGTAGTTTGCTCCCTTAGTCGGCTCTTACGACACCCACGGGTTGAATAGGGGTGGTCACACTCCGTATTCTTAATCCGTCACCACACGGACGAGAAACATCACATCAACAGCCTTTAATAGTCCACTGCTGGACATAGGCCCCTCCTTAGAAAGAAGGTTTTGGCCTACTATACCACGCTGGCCAGGCGGGTTGGTATAGGGTTTGTGTCAAGTTTTCCGTCTTTTTGCAGTGCTGGTGTCCTGCGTTGTTTTGCGCCCTTAGTCGGTTCTTACGACACCCACGGGATAAATTGGGGTAGTGACATTCCATATTCTTAATCCGTCACTACACGGCTCCACGAGAAACATCGCCTGCCAAAATTTCAAGTTTTTAGTTCCATTGGTCTAGGCTCTGCGTTGATAAATCAGTCAGGGCAAGTTATTTTGTATCTACGAGTATATATAAATTGCACACAGACACAGAGTTAACGTGCTTATCACACAATATTTTTCGTGTGTGGGAATCGAACCCACGATTTCTGGTTTATCGCTAGACCAACGAGCCTATCGTTTGGTCACTAGCGTTTATTATACTATCAAGTCTAAATTATTCAACCTAATATAAAAAACTAAAAAAAATATGAAAAGTTTTTGTTTTTAAAAGATAGACGAATAATACAACAAAACATGCCTTTATTCAGACAAGTATTAACATTTAAAACTATTGATCCAGGTGTAGAAAGTTATCCCTACATGATATTTAACTTAAACAAGTGGGTACAAAACCCGATGGCGTGAAAATGTGTACTTAAAATTTACAATGCAGCTATTTTAATAGTGAGAGTGACGCTGGTAATATGGATACCAGCGTCATTCTCACTATTAGACGAATCTAAAGACACTTGAAACCCCAAACTCCAATAAGTCGTTTAGTCTACAAAGCGTACCAATGAAATATAGATACATACATAAGTACACTCTCAAAACACAACCCTCCTGGTGCTATCCGGTAAAAAGACAGACAAATTTATTTAATAAAATGTGATTCTAAGATTATTCTGGTAGCAACCAAGTTTTGCAATGTAGTGTGGCGATTTCCACATACGGTGAAACGAATAAAAATACTACAGCGCCATCTAACGAAGACAGATTGAACTACAGAGTTACTGCTAATCCTGCATCGCAATATTAACTCGTTGATTACCATTGATACAACTTCCCAATAGCAACCGTTGGGCCGAGGCCCGCCAGACATGATCACCTCGCCTGGGGGTACATGACATCCGTTCAATTCAGAGCCATCATTGAAATTCTTAAATGAACTTACCTAGAGGAATAAGCTTTATGTATGGGAGTTAGAACATCTAACTGTTCCAATTGTAAAGTCAAAGGCCTAAGGAACATATCAATAGATGTGTTTTGAACCGTAGTCGTCCATTTTATATTTTCAAACGAAGTCCAGTTTGGTTTTGAAGGTACTGTAATTACATAGGAAACACTGCGAAAAAAAAATAATTTATTAGCTGGCATTTACTTGATCACCGTGAAGTATATTCTGTAAGAATAAACTTTTTTTTTTTTTTTTTTTAATTTAAAGGGCTTTGTCGCTGTGCGACCACATCGCCCTGTGACAGTACGAATTTATTAGTCAACATCTAACATAGACACATCTCTACCAATTTATATAATTTCCGGGCTTCAACCGACACAGGGTTAGCCAGAACACTATTACAAAGGCCGATATTCATACCTCTCGAGACCCCTAAATGTTCCCTGTAAGTTCTGTTCCTTACACATTCAAAAATAATGTGTAATATATCATCGGTTACACAGCAGTCCTCACAGTTGGGAGATGAGACTTTTCCCATTAAAAATAAGAATTTCTTAGAAGCTATATGACCTGTTCTCAACCTTAAGGCAGTTACCACAGCTTTTCTATTAAGTTCCACGTTTTCGATCCATGGGTATTTAGGCACTTGCGGCTGTATTGTACGGTACCAAATACCCTTCTCTCTCGATCTCTCATCAAAATATTCCTGCCAACACATATGACATTCCTCTTTTACGACTCTGGTGTAGTCAGTATGTAAAGGCAATACTTCTAATGCAATGCCATTCCAACATGCCTCTTTTGCTAATTGGTCCACAATATCACTCTCCCCAATACCAACATGTGAGGGAATCCATTGCAGAACAATTTTCCTACTTAGTGATTGAAAATTTAGGATTGACTCCAATATTTGATAGGCTATCGGATTACCTCGCATGTGCGAGGTACATCGAGCCAAATGTTGCAAGGAGCTTTTAGAATCAGTCAGAATCACGAATTTATCATACTTAATAGATTGTACGTATGATAAGGCTTCTGCTATAGCGATTAACTCAATGTGCATTATAGAAATATTGGAATCAATCCTAATTTTGATGCCGCAGTCGTTGAATGGGTTGAAAAATGCAGCACCACCAACTCGTCCGTCCTTGGATCCATCTGTATAAATCTTATGATATCTGTCGTATCGTTGATCTACAAAATTGACACAAGTGTTTCGCAGGTCACAAGGTTTATACAAATGTTTACCTTTATTGACTGATGGGATGGAATCACAAACCACCCGCGATAAATCTATACTGCTGACCCATGTTTGCAATGAATACATCTCTAACTGGTTACACGAATGTAGCACCATCGAATCTAAGGATTGGAAAATAGATGTGAGTAAGGGACGTCGTTTGTTGGTCCAATAAGAAGAATGTGTACTCTCCGATAGTTCCTGCACACCGGTAATTGTCTTATTATTATTAAACGTTTTAGCTTTTAACCCGAATTTACAAGCCAAGTATTGCCGACGATATTGAAGTGGTGGTAAGTGTAATTCACTCTCCATTGTGTGTATTGGAGTACTCCGGATAAAGCCTCCTATAACCCGCAACGCTTGGTTCTGGACTTTGTCGAGTTTATATAAGTACGTTTTACAACTATTGTCATATAAGAAACTACCATAGTCCAATCTACTTCGGATGAGAGATATATATAAACGTCTTACATGTTTTTGATGAAGACCCCATCCCCGTCCGACTAGTACCTTTAATATATTTACTAACTTGGATACCTTTAAGACAGTCTCATTAATATGTTTTCTCCATCTTAATGAACCATCCAACCACATACCAAGATATTTCACCTGGTTGACAGTAGCAAGAGAGACGTTATCAATTTGGAATTCAATAGTATCTCTGGAATAACCTTTCCTAAATATGCAGATTTTACTTTTAGTCGGTGAGATCACAAGCCCTAAGTTTGATAGCAATGAACTCAGGTCGAGGCAGGCATTTTGTAATTGTACTGCTGCATTACCTATCTTTTTATCTGATTTGTATAAAACAAAATCATCCGCGTATTGCAAGATTTCAACATTTTGTATCTTTTTACATATGTTTGAGGTTGCTATGTTGAATAGTAGCGGGGTAAGCGGATCTCCCTGAGCTAAACCACGACCGGTGGTTCTAGATATATCGACACCATCAACGTCAACGTGCAATCGTCTATTTTTTAAATACGCCCAAAGGTACAAGCAAATCCGAGAGCCAACCCCATAGCTATCCAATACTTTGATTAAACATGCCAAGTCTACATTATTGTATGCGTTGTCTATGTCGACGAAGCATGCAGCAGTTATTAAATTTTTTGAAAAACCAGTTTGAATGTAGGAAACCAACCGTGTCAGATTATCTAAACAGGATCTAGATTTACGAAAACCTACCATATTATCTGGGAACATATGACCTTTTTCAAAGTACCATTCCAATCTTTTATTTAAAATGCTGTGTAGAATTTTACAAAAACAAGAAATTAGTGATATTGGGCGTAATGCACTATCTGAATACATATCCCGACCAGGCTTCGGAATAGGTATAATTTGTACGTTACGCCACTGAAGAGGTACAAAGCTATGATTGAGAAATTGATTATATAGGGTTAATAAAAATGATTTACCTATAGGTGGAAGGTTTGCTATCATAGAAAAGGACACGTCATCACTACCCGGTGCAGTGTCGGTACGTTTTATAGAATTTTTTATTTCTTGAAGAGTAATAGGGGACTCCAAATGACTATTTTTCGATTGAATATTAGGTTGAGGTGGACATACAAAATCTGGGGTGATATCGTTTAAGAGCTTCTCTATTTTCTCTTTGTTTATGTGTTGTAATGTATGGTGTGTATGACCTTTAATCCATTTCATTTTCCGCCAAAGTATTCTTGAGGAAGATGTTTCATCCACGGATGAACAAAATTCCTGAAAAGATTGCCCTCTGGCTAGCCGAATAGCACGCTGTGCATCTCTTATTTTGTTTTGCAGTATAACTAAGTTACCAGGGGATGGACATCGTCGCAAGTTGGCAAGGGCCAGGCGGCGCTCGGCTACCGCTTTTGATAGCTCTGCGTTCCAATAGGGTTTAGGTGTAAATTTGCTGGTTATTTGTTGGGGTATTTTTTTAAAAGGAATGTATAAATTCGCTGCTTCTTGTACGATCTTTTCAAATAAATTGTAAAATTCTTGAAGTTGTGAAGGGACAGATATTGACGATAAAGCGTTTTCTATATAAGACGAATATGCCTTCCAGTTACTATTTTTGAAATTTCTTTTTGTTTTAATTTTTTTAGGGATGTGTATGCTAGCATATAGCTTAATTATCAAATGGTCACTGCCGAGATTTTCGTTTGTGGGTTGCCAAGCAAATAAGGTCGCCAAGTCTGCGGAAATGAAGGAGATATCTGGTGATGATTGCTGTAAAATACCATTTACTAATTTAGTACGCGTAGCGCAACCATTATTTAAATAAATAAAGTTATGATCTATCATACAATCGTATATCTGGTGACCCCTCTGATCAGAACGACATGACCAGTTGGGGTGATGTGCGTTAAAGTCACCAAGAAGTAGCGTTTTTCTATCAGAGAGAGAAAATAGAAAGTCCCAATCGTTTTGTGTTGTACGTACCGTGGATGGGCAGTATACAGAAATTATGTTTTCTATGTGTGGGCAGTTAAAAACTTTTACATGTATTAGTTCTATGTCCGGATTAGTGCAATTAGTTAAACATGTGGTGCACTGAATAGTGTTGTGTGTTAATATAGCAACCCCTCCATATCCATCAAATCTATCAGATCTAAATATGTTGTAATTACTTATACGAAAAGCACTTCCTCGCTCCAGCCAAGTCTCACTCAGGACTGCAATGTGTACCTTTTCTTGAATTAAAAGAGTTTCGAGAGATAAGGATTTCGGCCTTAAACTTTGACAATTCCATTGCATTATTACAAAATTTGTATTGACACAAGTACTTTCCATAATTAACAAGGCTATTAAAAAGTGAACTAACAGAAGTACAACTCAAAATTTTTGACAATATCCAGTCTGTGCAAATTGAAACTACTTGTTTAATTTTGTATTCTAAAGAAATCTTACTAAATATAATATTTTTTAACTGTACAAGAAGTGGTAGAAAACTTAAATTTTCAAATTTGTTATTGAAAGTCTTACTATGAGTCTCTTTTTCAACCCGAGGACAGTCGTCAGAACTTGTAAACCCCGACGCCTCTTTATTCCAGTTAGTCTCCCTGCAATCTGCGGCACTGGAAGATGGGGGAGGTGGTAAAGGTGTAGGCGCTCGTTGTCTCTTTTTCTTTCTGCGTGATTGCGTTGAATTAGGCTGATCCGCGATAGAAGTAAATAGTTGAGAAAATAGGCGTTCGCTTTCTGGCCTATCGTGTTGGTTATTCACGTGTGTACTTTCCGAGACTGTGATTCGTTGTGATTGTATTTTATCTTCTTCATACAGCTTGTTAGGTCCAGTTAGTTTAGGAATCGGGCTAGGCGGGACATATATTGACAACGCTTTCCTATAAGTACAATTAAACTCATACATTAACTCCCTGATCCTCCTCTCTTTCTTAAATAAAGGACAGGATTTTTGCAACGCCATGTGATTTCCTGTACAGTTGACACATTTGTAGGATGTAGTGTCGCAATTCTCGTGGCCTTTTGTACATTTAGGACACACAACTTTTTTTGATGGACACATTCTCCACGCATGCCCGAATTTCCAGCAGCGTGAGCATTGTGTCACTGGAAATATATACGGTTCTACTTTCACTCTCATCTGCTCAATATAGACATACCCAGGCAGTGATGAGGTTCTAAAGCCAAGGCGAATGGTTTCGCTTTCAATCCAATTGTGATTAGTGGCACTCGTAGAACTCGGCTCAATATTATTCCGTTTGTTTAGTCTTTTAACCGATACAATATCATAATCACTCGATAAACATTTTAAGATATCTGCCTCTGAAAGATCTAACTCCACATTTTTAATAATTCCGTAAGAGATTCCAACCTCCGCAGTTT